GTTGGTAGAAGGAAGACCTATGGCTGCATATGACGTAAGCGTAAGACCCCAAGCAAGTGACTTCCCTGCCGTAGTGCGGTGTGAGTGTGAGGCAGAGGCAAGCACCAAGTGTGCGAGCAGCCCTCCAGCTGGATGGCTGAAGAGAAATTTAGGTTGAAAATGAAGGGGGAGGAGGACTTAGAGGAAGCCACATTCCGTGCCGTCCCCCCCGGGACTCGCGCCGTGCTGCTGGTCTGGATAGTAGGCTAATAAAACCCGGAAGGAAGGCATTTGGGGGACAGGAACAGCACAAGCAGCCACCGCGGTAAGCCCAGAGCTGAAAAGTCGTGTCCAAGGCTTTCCAGGTCAGTCACGATAATCCTGATCCCAGTGTGGGGTTGCAGCTTGATGGGAAGTAAAGTGAGGAGGAGATGGGATCAGACGCGGGGGCTTGGCACACACCAGGTAGCGCGAGGGGAACACCGTGAGCCCTAGAAACACGGTGGCAATTCCACAGATGGCGCAGGAACATCTGGATATCCGCACATCCCTCCACAGAGGTGTCCCATGATTCAGTTACTTACACACTAGAGAATTAGAGCATTGTTCACAGTGGCCATTGTCAATGGTGGAAACAAGTCCAGTGACCACCCCCAAAGAGGAATACAGTTGCGGCACATGCTACAATGTGAATGAACCTTCAAAACCTTGTGAAAAGGACCGAGTTCCACTCATCTAAGATATTGGAATAGGCAGACTTGTAGAAGCAGATCTGAGGCTCCCAGGATCTACACAGCTGGACAGTGGGGAATAAGTTGTTGCTTAACAGCTGCAGAAGTAGATGGTGACGGTGGCTACATGTAGTGAGTGTGGTCAGGGCCTCTGCACACGTTGGAAGGCAGTGCTCAGAGCAGCCTGGCCTCCCTTTCCCTGTCCTGGGCATGAGTGGTCAGCAGAGACCAAGGAGAGCTAGCAGCCTGGGAAGACAGCTGTACCTACTAAAGCAGGAGCGAGGACAGAGGGAGCCAGAGAGACAGGGCAGCACCAGCGAGCATGCGCCGTCTAGGGAGTGAGCGAGTGTGTGTGAATGGGAGAAGTGTGTTTGATCCTGAGAGGGGAGAGGAGGTTAAGCAGTAACGGGTGCCTTCCCAGAGAACCAGAGGGAGGTCAGTCAGGGGGCAGAGGGGCTGGAGAAAGCGTGGAGATCAAGATTAGCGGGGAGGGCCCATTAGTGGGCTGAGAGCTGGGCAGTCGCCATCCACAGGGGAAAAGCAGGGGTGAGGAGCATGCTTTATTCCAGAGATCACAGGGAGGAGCAGGCAGAGGACACAGGGGACAGGGGGCAGCCACAGAAACGTGGGTGAGGGAGGGCGAGTGTGAGCACAGATGTAACCGAGGGTGGAGAGCAAAGCCAAGTGAGACAGGAGCCGGAGGTGAGAACCTACAAGCAAGGCAAACGGAGAAGGTATGGGCGCTGGCCAGCAGTGGAAGGAGACAGCTGTGTCCCTGGTAACTCAGGGAAGGGTCGGTCTGGCAGGGGAGCTGGGCTGTTCTTACTGGCAGCATTTCCACAGAGGAACGCCGCTGGCCTTTGTCAACAAGGCTTGAGTACACACTCCACAGTACCTGCTCAACCAAAAGCAAAGACTGGAAGCTAAACCAGGTCACCCAGGACCTGGACATCCTCTCCTCCTCAGTGGCTGCCTGTTTCCCATTTGACTTCTTCCAAATGCTTCAGCTGAGATGTCTCAAGAGTAGGAGCTGCATCTCAGTTTTGGTCAACGTTTAGGGAAAGAGAGAAGAGGACCCCGCTGGGCAGCCCGTGTTTAGAGCGAGCTGCCATTTACTGGTTTGTTTAAGATCACAGCAGCGGGCTGGGGAGATGAGGGAGGTGGGGAGATGAGGGAGGTGGGGAGATGAGGGAGGTGGGGAGATGAGGGAGGTGGGGAGATGAGGGAGGTGGGGAGACGAGATGGTTCAGCAGGTGAGGCGCCATGACCCGAACTCAGATCCTCAGGACCCGAAAAAAAAATTGTCTGTAACTTGGCCTGTGGGAGTGGGAGACAGGGAATTCCTGGAGCAATCTGGTTAGCCAAACTAGCCAAAACAGTGAGAGCCCTTGCCTCAATATGTAAGGTGAAGAGAGATGAGGAAGGTACCCAACATCACCCTCAGGCCTCCACGCTGGAACATGAACATGCATTTAGGCCCACCACACACATGCATCCACAAATTAATTAATTTTTAAAAATGTAAGTTACAGTTGACAGCTAGTTTTTCAGTTTCCACAAGGCCAGGAACACTGCTTTGCATGCTTTGCCTCAGCCTGGACTCCCGTTCCTGGAACACAGAGAGGGTAGATCTCTACAGAGCCAGGCACAGGAACTACACTGACTTAGCTATACCATTGACCCTTGCAGCTCCCTCCTCATCCTCCACAAGCATTCCTAACGAGTGAGTCGTCATTGTGAGGCCTGGCTGCAGTGCAGGGCAGGGCGGAGGAAGGAATTCATGGGCAAGGGCCCCTCGGCAGTAAAAACAGACAAGCCTCGGGAAGAATCTGCTCGGTGACCCAGGTCACAGGCACAGTTTGCAGACAGGTACTTGGCCTTGGAAGACAGAATACCCACTTGCCATCTGGGAGTGGCTCTGGCTTCCCAACCCCCAACATTGCTGCCTTTTGACCTTCACATATACTGAAGGAGGGGGTTATCCATGTATGTGGGGTCCAGAGGTTGACATCAGGTGTCAATTACTCTATCTACCTTCTGTATAGAGGCCGGTCTCTCACTGTACCCAGAGCTCAGATTTACCTCGTCTAGCTATCCAACTTGCTTTAGGGGTCTCCTGTCTCAGCCTCCCAGCTCCAGGGTCACAGGCAGCCTGTCACACCCATCTGGCATTTATGTGGGTGCTGGATCCAAACTCTGATCTTCATGCTTGTCCGGCGAGCACTTAACCACTGAGCCGTCTCTCCAGCTGCCTCCCCAGAGAAGGTTTTTGGGGTTTGTTTGGTTTGTTTTTTGCCCATGGTGAAACCACTCAGTCTGAAGAAGGTGACGTGAGGAATGTCAACCTCAGACTGAGAGAAGACATTAACATCTGTTTGGATCCTTTACACAAATCAGTGTTTTCATTCATATGAAAAATCCTATTCTCTTTAAGTAATTTGGTGTCATCTACAAGGAGACCGTTGAATGTCTATGGTGGGTGATACACAAACTGTGTGTGTGTGTGTGTGTGTGTGTGTGTGTGTGTGTAAGGAAAGAACAGAAGGAAAGGGATTGGGAAGAGCATGAAAAATTAAAAGAAGAACTCGAACTCATATCTGATGTGCCTTTCCCACCATGCTTTACTTCTTTCTCAGGCTCTCTCCATCCAGGCACTGGGCCTGTGCGTGGGGAGAGCACACGTCTGGACACCGAATGGCCTCAATGGCGTCTGACGGAGTGTCTAGTGCTCCTTCTTGGCTAGGACAACAGATTCCTAGAGTCTCCACCACTAACATCTTAAGAGAAACATAATCTGTTGGAGCCAGACAGTGGAAACCAGAAGGGGGACAGTATTAACAAACCACCCCCGCCCCCAGCAGCAGCCAGGGGACACTTTTTTTGGTTGTTTGAGACAGGGTTTCTCTGTATAGCTTTGCGCCTTTCCTGGAATTCACTCTGTAGTCTAGGCTGGCCTTGAACTCACAGATCCGCCTGGCTCTGCCTCCCAAGTGCTGGGATTAAAGACGTGTGCCACCACCGCCCTCAGCCTCAGTTTCCACATTTAAGAATCAGGTGCATAGCTCAATGGGTCCCAGCATCGCCTGCACAGCCCGGCTTAGGGGAGACTCAGTAGGTGACAGACAGCTCGCTGGGCACTTTGCATGACATTTTACTTTGTGTTGCATGGATTAACATTAACATTTGACAGGTTAAGAAACAGGCAGACAAGTGTACTGAGTATGGTCCCCAGCTAGAAACTGGCCAAACCAAGCCTGAGACCGTAGTCCTTCACATCTTCAAACGCAGGGCATTTTAGTCAGCCGCTCCAGGTGCACCTGCTCCACTCGGGGCCCCCGGAGCACTCTAGGGACACAAAGCAGAGACTGCAAAAACTGAGCTCTTTGGCCTGTGAAAAGACAAAGCAAAGGGACTATTTCCATTATTTTCTCACCTCTTGACCTGCTCCTCTCTCTCTGTTCTCTAGAGAGCATTAAGCCCGCTTTCTTCATGACCTGACCTATGTATATCTGGTGTAAGTTCTGGGATTCAGTTTATCCATCCCAAAGACAAAGGGGTTGGTGGGATGTGGGGTGGTCCCTGCCAGGAAGAACACACCAGAACTCCTTCTCCATTACTAGCTTCATCTCTTCTGGGAGAAGACACATACCTGGGCTTTAGACCAGCCACACCTGATTTCAAAACCCCCTAAAGCACCCAACCTGGCTCTGTTCTTCTGGGGGCCAATGTGACTCAGAGCCTCAGTTCAGAGGTGGACATGGGGCTGCATGCTCATAATCCCAGCATTGAGATGGCGGAGACAGGAGGATTGCAAGTTTGAGGCCAGCAGGGGGCTACATAGCGAGATCCTGTCTCTAAAAGCCAAACCAAAATAAAACAAAACCCCTGAGTTCCTAAGTGGCCCCATGGCAGCCTGCTTGGAAAGCTGGTGCATGTCTGTCCAGTCTCACCTGCTAATCCTCAGGAGAACAGTTCTCAGACTGCCCGCCCAGATGTTTAAGTCCCTTATAAAACTGCATGTAACCTGTGTACATCCCGCCATGTGTTTTCAGTAAGCTCTAGATGTCTTCTACAACCTACCAAGATAGAAGTTCTGAGTAGGTTGTACTGTGTGATTTGGGGACTAACAAGAAAAGGATCCGTATGTTTCATGTAGACACAGTTTTGCTGAGTGTTTTCCATCCTAGGTGACTGAATTCACAGATTCGGAAGCCCGGACACGGAGGGCCAAATGCTTGTGCGTGTGTGACAGACATTTGCTGACTCCCATCCCTTCCCCTTCCGCCCTAGCATCCCCCTGCTCTTCTGCTGCCTGAGCACCCCGACTGTGCCACCTCGTAGGCCATGGAGAATGAGCTGCCAGTCCCCCACACATCCAGCCGTGCCGGCGTCACCAGCAACACCAGTGGCACCAGCAGCAGCAGTGGCTGCGGCATTAGCAGCAGCGGCGGTGGCGGCGGCCGGCCCACGGCACCCCAGATTTCTGTGTACAGTGGTATTCCTGACCGGCAGACTGTGCAGGTAAAATCCTAATTAGCCCGGGGTTATATCCCTTCGTTGACAAGGCTGCCCACAGGAGAGCTGGCATGGTCTGGTGGGGTAGCGGGGCGGAAAGGAGTGGGTCAGTGGGTACACGCTTGTGCATGACTGAACGAGGGGAAGTGATGTCAGATGGGTCCAACACAGGAAGCTGAGAGAGAGAACTTAGACCAGAAAAGCCCGTCTCCCCTGAGGGATGGTGAGAATGTTGTCTGTGGAGACCGGATGTATGAAAGCAAAAAGGGCCGACAAGGGAAACCAGCAACATGACTGGGAGCCGCTCACTCCCAAGCCAGACTGCTCCTCCAAGTGGCCATTGCCACTTAAAGAACAAACCTGGGACGGAGACAGCGCCGCAGTGAAGTGCCTGCCATACGAGCATGAAGACCTGAGCTTGGGTCCCCAGAGCCCACTTTAAGAGAACTCTGGAGCACCAGAGCGTCTGGGGATGGAGACAGGGGGATTCTTGGAGCTCACTGGCCGGCCACCTAGCCTAACCAGTGAGCTCCAGAAGTGAGAGGCCCTGTCTCAGAAGGGGAGAAAATGGTTGAAAATGATCCAGGATGTCACCTGACATTGACCCCTGGTCTACACACACACACACACACACACACACACACACACACACACACACACACTACACATACACTACACATACACTACACATACACTCAAACATACACAATGCAGACATACAGAATACACACACACTCAAACATATACCTGCACACACAGGATACACACACACTCACATATACACATGCACATACAATACACATATACTCACACACACAATACACACACACTCAAACATACACATGCACACACACTCACATATACACATGCACACATACACATGCACATACACACAAATATTTAAGATTTTCAAAGTCAGGTGGCTGCAGACAATTCTTAGTCTCTGAGGCTCTATTACTTTTTCCCTAGTTTGCCAAGTGCTGTATGTGAGACCCCTCCAGGGACTAGACACAGTCCCCAAGTGTACCTGTGATCATGTCTGCCACATGTCATGTCACGTACCTGGCACTGTGCTTACATATCAGTTGTTGTTATTTTGAGACAGGGTCTCACTCTATCCCAGACTCACCTGGCACTCACTGTTCAGCCCAGGCTGGCCTAGAATTCCTGGTGATCCTCCTGCCTCAGCCTCTCAAAGCTGGGATTACAGGAGCGAACTACGTGGCTGACCACATATGTCTTCTTCAGTTGTAAGAATGGCCGTTTTTAGGCACAGGTCCACACTTGACAAACAAAGTCTCAGAGGAGGTAATGACCTACCGACTTAACTCCCCAGAAACCTGAGGCAGAGAGCATTTGCCATTTGTTGTTATTCACAGTGATATCTGTTTGAGCATCTTTGCAAACAGGGCGGGTTAGAGAAACCTCAACTGAGAAATATTTACTTGAAGTAACTGCTGGTTGGGTTTGGATAAACCAGACAAGTAGCCTCATGCTGCATTGATCTCAGGTCCAGAAGAGAGAGTGGGGGAGAAGCCACAGCAGAAAGTGGGAAGCCTGGGAATTCGGTTGTGGACCAGGCCACACACTCTGGGCTGTCCCCTCTCCCAGTCCTCTGGGCTTCACACTTAATCAAGCTGCATTTCCTGTCCCGCCCCTGTTCCCGCCCAGCCTCTTCCCCTGTCCTTCCTTCAGAGGAGCCTTGGCTCTAGTTTTCCCGCACCTGAGTCAACTGTGTCCCTTCTGCCACTCACCAGAACTCTGGCAAAGGCAGTTGGGGTTTCTGCTCTCATGGGTCTCTGCATTCAGCACCCATGCAGAACCACGGGGGTTGCTCCTGACTCCAGTTCAAGTCCCCCTTGCTGAGGAGGAGCCAGAGTCTCAGGCACTGCTGGGGGAAGCAGGCCAGTGAGGGAGGAAGAACAAAATGACTCTGAGGACAGACGATGGGATCAAGGATGGTGTTCATATGTGCAGGGTCTCGGGGTAGAGTGCACTGAAGCGGAGAGGGATTGGAGAAATGCATGCTTTGGAGCACGGGGTTCTGGGAGACACCAGAGCCCATGGAGGATCTGTCACATCAGCCTGCTAGAGAAGAACCCACAAATCCAAGCCCAGAGCCCTGGATCCACTTCGGAGAGATCCTCACCAGAGACTGCCAGTCAGCTGCTGGTCGGGGCAACCCTGGGACCAGAGACTGGGGGGTGGGGGGCAGAGATAGGATCAGTGCAGGGAAGAGGTGGTGACCAAGAAGGCGGGGAAATGTCTGAGTCTTTTTAGTCCTGGGGCTGAGCAAGGAACAAAGCCTTTTACAGACTGCCGCTCGGGAGGCAACACCTACAAAAACAAAAGAGCGAGAAAAGGAGCGAAGAGATGAGGGAGACAAGAGTCAAGACCATGTCTCCTCTGTGGTGTGGGCATGCTCCCAGAGGCCATGAAAACTTTGCCAGGCACTGACAGGATTCTCAGGGAGGCTGAGGGCAGAACCTGGGAGGGGCTCCAGGTTGGTCTTCTCGGCAGGCAGTGGCCTTCCCGTTAGTAATTTCCCCCGTTCCCAGTAACCCTTAGGGTCCACCTCTTCTTCCAGCCCCTTCTGCTTGGGATCTTGACTATGAGGCTTCAGAGTAAGGGAGGAGTGTCCACCAAGCCTGGCTGGCACGGGAGCCTGTGTTTCCTGAGGAGCAGGCTGAGCAGTGGGGTGCTGGCAGCTAAGGCCGAGCACCCCTGTCAGGCAGGAGCTGGAACGCAGGTGTAAAGCTGAGATGGCTCTGTCCCGCCTGGGGAGTGACGTGGGGCCCTTCCCTGGGCAGCTGGGACTGAGAAGGCAGGACACACTGTGTGGCCAGTTGATCCTCCTGTCCCCCGGTCCCACGCTTCTCAGGTGATCCAGCAGGCCCTGCACAGGCAGCCCAGCACGGCGGCGCAGTACCTGCAGCAGATGTACGCTGCCCAGCAGCAGCACCTCATGCTGCAGACGGCGGCCTTGCAGCAGCAGCACCACCTGAGCAGCGCACAGCTCCAGAGCCTGGCGGCGGTGCAGCAGGTGAGTTGAGTGGCGGGCTCGCCCCGGTGCCCGGGCTCTTTTGGAATCCAGGTTGTTATAGGGGAGTGATCCGAGAGGAAACAAGTCGTATCACCTTGCCTCCCCAGTTCCTCTCAGAGTCCCCACAAAGCCCCCAAGAAGCAGGTGCTGTCGCCATGTGTCCCTTAGCAGGTGAGAAACGGACACCAGCCTACTGCTGGTGAGTGGGACGTCTAGGGTTCTCACCTGCTGGCCCAGGAAGTGTGGCGGCATGAGCCCATTCAGGGGCTTACCCAGCAAGCCTGCCTATCTGCTGATGCTCTCTCCTTGTGCTGTGGGAGACAGACGCTCACTGGCGGAGCCATCCCTTCACCTGATGCAGTGTCTTATGCACCTTCTGTGTTGGACATTAATGTCAGGCACAGTGTGCCGGGGCCCCTGCCTCCTTGGTACAAGAGAGTGAGCTCTTCGTTTATCTATGCTGCAAGGAAAATGGGCTGCAGCCAGGCCAGGAGGCTGCCCCTACATCAGCTGGTCAGGGAGGCTCTGTCTGCTAGAGGAACACTGAGGCTGACACTTCAGTCCTAGAGGCATTTGGCCGGAGAAGAGGGACAGGTTGTACATTCCAGTGTGCAAAACTCTCATGTGTGCCATGGACCCCATGGATGGCATGGGTGGGGTGGAGGCTGCGGAGAGCTGGAATTGGTTGCTTAGCAGTGGTGATGGCCAACTGTCAGGGTGCCGGTGATCTCAGTGGCTCCTCCAGGTAGATCTGGTTATTTCTGCTCTTTTATGAGAGAAGAGGCCAGGACCATGCTGAAGGCCCACGTGGATGAGGAAAATGGAGTTAGGCCCTAGGGGCTGCTCTCCTCACCGCTGTCCAGAGCACTTCCTGGAAATAAGGGCCCATGAATGACTGAGGTGGAAGGCACTGGTGACCAGAGTTTGTTCTTTTCCAGGCAAGCCTGGTGGCCAACAGACAAGGAAGTACTTCCGGCAGCAATGTGTCCTCACAGGCTCCCACCCAGTCTCCTTCAGTGAGTAGGGCATGGGAATGGCAGGCAGAGTCCACACCCATAGACTGGCGCCTGCCTAAGATGTTCCCCAGTTCCTGGATCTACTTGAGGGGAATCCCTAGCCATGTGGGGTCACAGCTGGAATCTGTTGCTCTTGTCAGGGAAAAAAATCACAAGCTCTCTGTGGCTCTAATAGTATCACCCCATGATCCTCCTAATGCAAGGCTCTGTTGCTAACTCTGGGCTTGTACCAGAGGGTGTGTCCAAGCCAGCTAAGGGGCAGAGTTAGAGGAACCACCCAGAGCCAAGGGCAGGAGTTGGTCCTAAAAGATGCAGCATAGGCCATAGAACAGAAGAGGGAGGCAAGAAATGGAGGGGACGCAGTTCACCCCAGGTCTCCCGTTTCCTAATGTGCACGTCTTTCCCAGCAGCTCAATCTGGCAGCATCCCCTGCGACAGCCCAGCTCATCAACCGGGCGCAGAGTGTCAATTCCGCCACAGCCTCGGGCCTTGCCCAGCAGGCTGTGCTCCTGGGCAACACGTCCTCTCCTGCCCTGACGGCCAGCCAGGCACAGATGTACCTCCGAGCACAGATGGTGAGTCGGCCCAGCCTGGGTGTGCTCCTGTGCCGGGGACACAGTCAGGAAAGGTGAAGGCTGGGAGACAGAGAAGGGAGCAGAGAATGCTGGGAACCAGGAGCACGAAGGGGGGGTGGGGTCGAAGAAGCCCAGAGACTGAGTGGGAGGCCACAGGCTCAGGAAGGGTCAGGTCCAAGACGGAGCCAGGGGAAGTCACCCCCAGCGTCTCCCTTTCCTCCCCTTCTCAGAACTAAGTAGACAGTGCAGGAAGTGTGCCCAGATGATGCCTAGAACTCGAAGATGAGGAGAAGAGATGGGCTGGCTCCCATGACAGTCCTCTAGCCGGGGGCCTCTCAGCTTGCCCCATTCTAGTTAGGGCCGGGAGAGTTTATCTGTGCAGAACATCCCAGGGCTGGCGCGGGCATGCCTGGAATTGCTCCTGCGTATTTGCCCCTAAGGGGTCCTTAGGTCTGACAACGGCAGACTGAGAAGGAACCACCTAACTGTGGTGGGCTCCAATTGACAAGTCTTAGCTTGTGCCAAAGAGCGAGTTCTCTCTTTCACCCCTGGACACATCGTTCTGAGGACAGTGCAGGCCACCCTGCCTTTGCTCTTAGGGCCTAAGCAGCACACTCGGAGTTTTCCTGTCTGATTCCCACACATTTCTTCCGGGTCCCAAGCTTATCACTGCAGCTACTTTCCCCTTCCAGGCGGTGCCTCGGACAGCATTTGATGGACTTCCATGTCCCCAGCCAACTGGCAGCCACACTTCACCTCACTCAATGTCCCACCGGGGTCCTGATGCCCATCTGCTGTCCCCTAAGAGCAGAATATACACAGAGAGAATGAGCCAGGAGGCATCACCATTGAGCTGAACGAAGGGAAAGCCGCTCCCCACCCCTCCCCCCCCCCCCCCCCCCCCCCACATACCCCCGCCAGCCACACAGAGGTCAAGATGGCAGCCAGTGATGGCTCATCACCTGCCCCTCCAGACGAGGAGCAGTCACCACAGAGCCAGGCCATCTCCTTCCCCCGCTGTTGCTGCTTCTAGACTCCCCTAGAAAGTGGCTACTGCGCATCTCTGATTCGATCCTTTCTGAAAGAGAAGCTTTTTCTGGTGTAGCCCTGGGGTCAGAGGTGGCTCAGACCTGGGAAATGGGTTTGTGACAGTTGCCAAGCTTCCTACCCACCAGGGTGTGGAGGAGACAGTGGCTTGAGGCGCCCTGGGAACACTCAGGTCCCTCCCAGTGAGGCCCTCACAGAGGGCTCTTGCACCCTACCCCTCACTGTCTGGCTGGTTCGTCACACCCCAAGCCTTTTAAGGTGTTCAGTTTCCCTGGGCTTCCTGCCTCCCCCTGGCTTGTGCCCTGCTTGCCTAGCTGCCTTCACATCTGTTCCCTGACTGAACTGCGCTACCCTGCGGCTGAGCCCACACAGGGCAGGCGCCTCACTTCCTGTGGTTTCAGGCTCAGCCAGGTAACTTGGTGCGGGGAGCTAAAAGCCTAGGCCGTACTGTTCCTTTGTCCCCTCAGCTCATCTTCACGCCCACGGCCACCGTCGCAACCGTACAGCCTGAGCTCAGCACTGGCTCCCCCGCTCGGCCCCCTACCCCAGCCCAGGTGAGGATCCCGGGCTTGTGGGAGGGCAGGGGGTGGGCAGCTCTTAGAGGGGCAGGAGGCTGGTTACAGGTAGCCCTGGGGATGCCAGCAGTGGCGGGACTCTTCTAGGAAGTAGATTTAAAAAACAAACAAACAAAAAACCCTGAACTCACTCCTTCGTTCCTATCCAGCTGGCCTCGGCACCTCTGAATATATTAGACAGCAGAGGGCAGTGTGCTGAGGCTTTCGGGAGCCAGCTCGGAGGGGTGGGGACGGGGGTAGGAGCACACTGAGAGAAGGAACAGGATGGGTCCTGGCCTCCTGCCTTCTGCTGCAGCACATGGATGCTATTGTGTGTGAGAAGCCTGCAGGACGCTGAGAACGTACCTCTTACTCCATCTCCCCACCCCATCTCCAGAATGGGGACCAAGCTCAAGGGTTGGAGAAGCTAGGTGAAGAGTCCTGCACTACCTGGCTATGTCCAGCAGAGGGCACCAGGAACTGGACTGAATAAAAGTCTTGGAAATGCCTGGCGTTAACCTGATTGTGAGGACAAGCCGATCCTTTGCTTGCCTGTCATTTTTGTCCTGTTTTTTTCCATGCCATGCCCCACCTTTGTGGTGTGCAGCCAATTCTGATAGAATCTGGAGAAGGGGAAGTAACAGAGGAATGATGCTGCCTCTGTGCCCCTGTCCGTCCCAGCTGGGCAGAGTTCACTTCTGATCACCAGCCATATTTCCTGTGTTCTTTACAAACTCCACCTGCTCCTGGTTCCTCCTTCAGCCCCTAACTGCTCCCCACCCCGTGTGCTTCTCTGTTGCTATCTGTTTTTCA